GCTGATTTGATGAGATAACCACCTATCAGTGACCTTGCAGGTAGGTCTAATCCCCTGACCAAACTAGTGTAGACGGGCTTTAAAAACAGCAAGTACATAAATTATAACAACATTGCATATTACACAGTAAAGGGAAAAAACATCTAGTAGATTTACATTAAAGTACATGGTTACATAAAATGGGACGATAACTTACCTAAAAAACGTTTTAACGAACGCACGCACACACACACACAAAAAAACATATCAAAACAACATATTGTAGTATGGGGAAGTGGGGGAATCAGCAAAGGCTGAAAAGCCTTTCAGTTGCCAATTCCCAAGTAATTAAAATGTGAAATTATAATATATTTACTTAGCTTTGCTCTATCCTGCCGTTAAGTGCTCAATGCCAGGCACAGCAGAAATATATTGAATAAGGCAGACTAATGGGACATGGTTGCTACTCCGAGTTTCACGCCTTGAGTAGCAACCATCAAGTTTGTTTACGCTATCGAGACAGCAAACAGTGTAAGGGCACAAAGTACATACAAATACGTGTGTGGGACTATGGACGGGCTGGATAGGACAAGAATAAGTGCTTATCAATATAACAGAAATTTTGCATGAAATACCATCAGGAAAGCTATCTAAATTTGTCAAAAATTAGCGACAAACACAGTCACCCAATTCAGCGCTGCAATGACGCACAAAACGGCGTAGAATTCAACTTTTCATCCACCAAATAAATTCAAACACTTGCATTATAAAATCTTCAATACCTGTATCACCGTTATCGCATGCAATAAAATCAAAATCTATATCTAGACCTAGATCTACGGCTAATAATAAAACGTAGGGCTATACCCTTTTGGTGTTTTTGCTGTCTAGCGACCAATTCGCTGCACACACACAATGTATTGTATCCGCCATCGCTCAAACCAGTTTTTAAGCAAGACTGAACTATTAGATGGGCGTGGCATTTTTCGTTTATTTACGGGAATGGCTAAAACCATGACTGCAATTCCGACCAATCAGATGGCTGGATTTCTTAAGTGAGGTATATAATCTGCCTTATTCAATATATATAAATTATGATACAATAGCATTAAAAATACATTAAAAAAAGTATAAACATAAGGCAAGATTACTGGTGTGTATATAGGTATAGCACACCAAAAATAATTACAACAAACACATGTTATTTGATGGTTGCAAATGATCAAGCTTTATGAAAGCTTCAAAAAACAAAAAACAGAATTGAAATCGGTCAATGCGTTGGGATTTTATACCATCTTTTTGATATCGCAAAATTACCGAAAACCTGCCAGAAATGGTCAAATTGTCAAAAATGGCATAATTCGACAAAGTTGACAACTTATTCATCACTTTCTTGGACACAAATAATAAATTAAATTATCAGACACTAAAATATCATCTTTGTGGTAAAACATACAAAAAAGATAATTCATATATTTATTACCGTTTTGAAAACAGAAGCCAACAAAATAAGTCATTTTTGCCAAATTTTGCGAATCTGCAGGTATAAAAAAGTTGTGAAAACAACTAAGTCCGCCTAATTAATATGCACATATGTAATCAAATCGAAACCGAACATGATACATCAGTGTAACCTATGTATATCAGACAGGTATGGAAATATATTTCATTATTTTGTAATAAAATAAAATCATGAATATTCATCAAATATGCAAATTAGCTCATTTCAGCTAATTATATATCCGCGCACTCATTATGCAAATTAGGAAAGTCAAACTGTTCATTTTGGGGGCATTTTTTAAATCATACATTCATAGATCATATTTACACCAAATATTGACCTTAAATTTCTAATATTTTTGCAATGCCAATACAATGGCGATGGAAATTACTTGGATCACCGTCACAACCATTTCCTCATGTGTTCCACAAATAATTCAGAAAAACCGATTATATGATAAGAATTTGTAGACTTTCAGCTACATCACAGAATATCTGCCTTTTTCAAAGATGTCAGATTTGAGGATTTATGACGATTTTCCGAGATAGCATTGAACAGGCCATAACATTCCACAAGGACTGAATTTCAGAGTGGCAGAAACTTTAGTGACCCCAGTACAGTTGTGGCTACCTTGAGTGTAAATAACAAATTAATTCAATTAGTGAAACACATGAGGATATTGCATTTTTGTAGGGAAGTTTTATATATTGAGGTGCATTTTTTTCACCACGCAGAATAGCAGCGCGAGCCAATGGGCGATCAGCGGGCCATGTCACACATGGCTGAAAAGACAATATTCTAATTCAATAATTAACACATTTCCCACATGCCTATAACAATGAAACTACACAGAATTGTAGTTAAAGGTATGCTTGAAATATATGTGAAATAAAAATTCAAAAATATTGTTTAGTTTTTTTTAAATACATTTACAAAAATTGCTATTTCTACCAACTGACTGCTGTTGTGTGTGTGTGATCGCGGGGCAGACTGTTTGCACAGGCAGTGTGATCACCCTAATATCCTGATATATATGTTTAGTTTTCAGTTTCCAAAAGATAATATTTATATTTGCGTTTAAATTGAGAAAGTAACTTTGACTTTTTAAACTCTTTAGGTATTTTATTCCAACTTTTTGCTCCAGTGAAAGCTAATGTTTTGCGTGAAAATTATACTTGTACACGGCAAGTGTATATTTGTTGATGTACGAGTACTGTAACTGTGGATTACACAATTAAAAGTAAAAAAAAGGTCACTGTCATCTATTTATTTCCATTACTTTCCAAATTTTGAATTAAAAAAAAAATAAAAAAGATCAGTGGTGATACATTACTAACAATACGTATAGCATGTTTCTGTAAAAATACGATTCTATTTAATAAATATAATGCACAATAATTGCTCCAGATGATATTGCAGTATGTAATATGAGATGAAATCGATGTGTTGTATAATGTTAATAAAATTCTTTGGGGAATTATTTCTTTAAGTCTAGTATTAACATCAGCAATTCTCTTTAGTAAACTCCAGTCCTGTTCTTGTACTAACATACAGAATTGTACGACGAGGCTATCATTTCCCTTGCGTTTAAAAAAAGTTAAAGGTATAACATTTTTTATCACTTTTGAAAATAGATGTTATGACTAGATGGTCACTAATTTCAGCTGCAAGGATACCAGATTGCATAACAATGTCAGAACAGTTGGTAAAAATATTGTCCAGAAGTGTTGCAGATAATTGTGTTATATGCGAGTAGGTTTAGAGATTGACGGGCAGAATGAATATGAAGACAGAGTATCAAGGGTGACAGATGAATTTGGTTTTAACAGATCATTAGATCAATGTTGAAGTCACCAAGAATAAAGCATCTTTTCTTTTCTCTTGCAACCTATCTTAACAGTTCAATACAGTTTTAAAATGTTGTGACTTGTTCATCAGGAGGTCTATGTATAACATAAAATATGTCGTTATTTTTCTTTCAACGTGTTTGATTCTTCTTGATTCTTCCAGATCCATTCTTCTTTAAAATTGAATGTCCGACTTTATAGATATATTATATACCCCAACCTCCTCCACGTTTATCACTTCGACACTTTGTTACACATTTATAATCGGGTAGTTGGAAAAAAGTTGGTTCATCATGTTTAAGCTATGTTTCAGTCAGACCGATGAACGAAAACTTGTATTTAAAAGATCCTAGAAACATATTTACATCATCAACATTTGCTCTCAAGCTTCAACAATTTAAGTTGATCATACGAAAAAATAGAACTGATTTCAGCCTCATTACCTAAATATTAATATTATCAAGTTCACAAGGAGCCAGGTATTTTGTATCTGGGTTGTCAATTTCAGAAAAAATGCATGTATTACTTCTTCATATTAGAAAGAAAGGACATATATACACAACTTCCAAGCTGGAAAATACATATCTTTTTTACTTGGAATCTTGCCGATGGTACACAATCATGATAACAACAAGCACACACTATAGATAAACATAAATTATAAACACATGAGTACATAATTAAAGCACAAAGTAACAATTTTAAAAAATGACAGTAATATGAAAAATGACAGTATGAGACTCGGGACTAGGTATATAATGTTTATCAATGAAAAAGGTGTTATTATACTAAAGTGCAAAATGATATCCTATCTATCAGAGCATGTCTAATTCTTGGAGAGATCGGATGAATTTTTTCATTGTTCAACCGCCACTTGCCTTTACAATGGCAAATATTCTGCCATCAAGACGTGTCCAGGTAGATTATACTTTCTTGCTCTCTTGCACACTATGAACATGACGGACAAAGAAAGAGGACAAAATATACAGTTCCTCAGGTAGACAAAGGAACATTCCTTCACTGCTATTATGTAAAAATGTGTAGAACAGGTGATTATGCATGTGACACCTGTTCTACACATTTTTACATAATAGCAGTGAAGGGATGTTCTTGTTCATAGTGAATGTGGACACAAAATTAATACAGTTTACAACTAAATCATTCATCCCCTTGTAATATTGACGGTCTTTGTATTTCTTAACTCAAGAATGAAAGGTGCATAGACTGGATGAATAGATTTAGATGAAAGCTCTAATAATTCACATTCTCAAGAAACATTAATCGGGACAAACCATGCAAGCTAGGGTATGAATAATTTAGTTGTTACTGTACACCTCGATCAACGCCCGGTTTTGACCAACTCTTCTGTGGTATTATGCATATCAAATGCGATCTATCTATCTCTATCAGGCTATAATTCATCCAGACGTTGGACAAAGCCCTCCTCATAACATTTCCATTCTCTTCTGTCTCTAGCTGTCCCCGGTGCTGTCCTAGTCCAAGCGGCCGTTCCCATGTATGATGTTAGGTCATCTATCCATCTTCTATTCTGCCTTCCTCTTCTTCTCTTTCCCATCCTTGGTTGCCATTCTGTTAAACGATTTGTCCATCTAATTGTCCTGAAGTCTTGCTACATGCCCAGCCCATGATTCTCCATGATGTCTTTAACCACGTTATTTTATCTCTGTCTCAGACCCTCTCCCTGTGGGTGCTTCCCTGACTCTGTTCGGGTTCTTGTTAGCAAGGTTACATGAAAACACGTTTGATTGGTCCTGTTTCTCTGTGCCTCTGCAGCAAAACATCTTCTTCCATGCTCTCTGAAACTTGACATATCGAAAGGAATAGATGATGGGATTTATCCAGGCATTGGAAAAGGCCAGCAGAACGGTGACGTCGTAAAGGATGCCTTCTAATTGGACATGTTCCTTGAGAGAGTAGTTCAAGACATAGATGTCATTGGGTGCCCAGCAGACTATGTAGCAGACGAATACAATGAGAAGAGTTTCCAGGACATTCCTTCGAGCGCGTTCCCGCAGGTTAACAGCATCGGTCTGTCCGCGTAGACCACGACGAAGATGAACAGCGATCAAGATGTAAAGGATGCTGATAATGCAGATGAGACCCAGGAACTGAATACTGAATATCAACACCCCAATAACTTGCTTCAACTTCATATTAGGCCACACATAGGTCAAGCATACCTGTCCGTCGATTCTTGTCAAGAATAAAAAGAAAATGCTGAACGAAATCCCATATACCCAAGGAATCACAGACAACGATGCCACTCGTTTTATGTTCATTCCTTGACGGTAACGTACAGGATAAGCGATGGCATAGAATCGTTCGAATGTTATCACCACCAAGTTGACTGAGCTGGCGGTTACGGTCATCCAAAAGGGATACCAAGTCATCCAAAAACCACAGATGAACCTGTTGATTAGCACAGGTTGAGATACGGTAAGGAAGCCGGGTGCGAGGTTGAGCGCAAGCAGAAAAACCGATGTCATCAGGTCGATCAAGGATTGGTTGGCGATCAGCAAGTTTGTTGCATTCCGAAGATCTTTACTGTAACCGACGACAACCAGAACGAGTCCATTGTCGATTATACCGCATAATCCAAATGCTATGAAAACTGTAGTCGATATAATAGAAGACGATTGAGACGATTCATCGTCACTTGATTCCGTTGACAAATTCATATCTTAATTAGACAAGAAGGATTTATTGCCGGTAATTTATGTAAGAGACTACACAAACATGTCAAGATATATTACAGACCTCTCAACTCATGACCGTCATCGATGTGATCGTTCGCGATGTGCTGTAGTTTTTTTCTAAGCAAAACCTTTTTAAACTAAACGATCGCGTCTGTAATTTCCTGTATGAAGTCAGTTTGAGCATTATGCGACGAGATTTTAATCCATTGCCAATTAGGTGCCCCCGAGTCCGGCGGGATCAACACTTTTGTATCACAGTATGATTTTATGATTGCTTCTTTTGAAATGTTGACATGTCCTAATTCCAACAATCCAATTATTCGCTATATTACTTTGTTTTTTACTCCTTCCCACAATTGTATACCCCTTTATTGATGATAAAGTGATTACAAATGAAGAGATTTTCAAATGTCTCTGTAAAAGTGTGCCTAGCTGTGATATCAAAGGAATTCAGAAAATCGGAGGTCTGTGGAGACTGTATGTAGAAAATCAGGACAAGAGAATCAAGATCATTACGAATGGACTGAATGTACGGAATGTAAACATTGCTGTGTATGACAAAAACCCATTTCTTAGAGATGAAAATGAAAATAGTCTTCGCCTTCTGATTAGGGACATACCACTATCTGCCCATGACTCCCTGATCATTGATGAACTCGAGAGACTAAAGTACAAAGTTTTGGGGACTGTTAGCTACCAACGCCTCCGCGTGGATGGGCGTTTGACAGATTGTCTAACAGGCGACAGAGTTGTGTATATTCAGCAACCATCAACCCCCCTCCCCCGAATCATGAACTTTGGCCTTTTTAAAGGCAAGATCTTCCACTATGGCCAACTCCCGTCAACTACGAGACCTAAAGCTGTATGCTCGAGATGTCTGAGCGAAGGTCATCATCGATCCCAGTGCAGTGGCCCTGTAGTGTGTCGCCGTTGCAATCAACCAGGACACATCCAGCAAGACTGCACCAGAGATGATACCCCAACAGCTCCGTTACATATGCAAGATCCTACTAGTAAACCTGACACCCCAGCTATACCAGCAGCCGAAGCCGCAACTGCCCCACACGTTCTAGCCAGCATCGAGAAACTCGTCGCATCTGGAAGACAACAAGCGACAATTGAATCGTCTCACAACTACCCATCGCACCATGACTACCAGACGCGCGCTCAGTCAAAGATTACGCAATTTCTGCACGGAGATAGTAGAGAGTCACCCCATGGAGCCGTTGAGAGAGTCGAAGTAAACAAACCGGATAATGTGTCATCCTCTTCCGCTAACAAGTTTGCTCCTCTCTCTAGCAATCCTGATTCCTACGTTTCGCCCTCACGTACAGATGCTTCAAGCAATGTCTCTTCATGCGATGTCGATGACGGCAGCGAAGAAGAAGCCTCCGAAATATCTTTGGAATCACCCGAGTTGCCAACACGCCGAGTGAAAGATGATACAGATAAGAGTAAAAAGAGGAAGCAAAAGTCGACGAAAAAACCACCGAAAAAAAATGATAGATATGTCAAACAAACTTATTTCAATTTGATTTTTGTTATACAATCTTCCTTTTTCATGTAAATGTCGAATTGTCATTTCTTAAGTTTAAACGTTCGTGGTCTTAGAAATAAGGAAAAACGAAGTCAAATTTTCAGATGGTTTAGACATCAAAAGGGACACATATTCTTTGTACAAGAAACTTATTGGACAGCCGACATTGAAAAAATTGTGAAAAGTGAGTGGCGTGGGCCGTGTTATTTTTCGCACGGCACAAATCACTCCAAAGGAGTTGCTATACTATTTGATGAACACCTAGACATAGATGTCACTAGTATAGAGCAGAGTGATGATGGAAGAAAGTTGTTACTAAGAGTTAAAATGGGAACCCTTTTATTGACAATGGTAAACGTATATGCACCAACTAAGAAAAAGCAAAGAGAACGGTTTTTTAGAAATCTGAATACTTTCGTATCAAATTCTTGTGAAAAGTACGAAAAATCTAAATTAGTAATGGCAGGAGACTGGAATTGTGTACTGAATGTCAAGAAAGACACTATACATGTTCAGGGAACAAACTGTTCCTATTACAAGAAACCGATAAATTTTAGTAGATTGTTAAAGAAATACGAATTGTGTGATATCTGGAGGAAAATAAATGTTAATACTATTCAGTTTACCTGGAGAAATAAATATCTAAAACTTGCTTCAAGATTAGATTATTGGCTGGTCGATAAAAGTTTTTTAGGGAGAGTTGTAAACACAGATATCAGACCATCAATAAGAGCTGATCACAACGCAATTTCTTTAAAAATCAAAACAAAAACTGTTCAAAAGGGTCCAGGTTACTGGAAGCTGAACAGTCGTGTTCTGTCTGATGACTGTTATCATAAAAATATTTGTGATGTTATTAGTTCAATGAATTCTCAAAATATGAGTCCCCTACAGAAATGGGAACTTTTGAAAATAAAGATACGTGAATTTACACAAAAATATTGTAAACATAAAGTTGCAGATCAAAAAAATAGAAAAGGGTTTTTAGAAATGAAGCTTAATGTATTACAAAAATGTATTGATAACCAAAGTGGAAATAATGATAATGAAAACGAATATAGGGTCATAAAAGAAGAGCTGGAAAATATATATAAAGTAGAATCTAAAGGAGCTGGTATCAGAGCTAAGGCAAGATGGATGGAAGAGGGAGAAAGAAGTACTAAATATTTTCTTAGCTTAGAAAAGAGAAATGCTAGCAGAAAAAACATAAATCAGTTGAAGACAGGAAATGGGAAAAGAATTATTGAAAAACAAGACGAAATATTGAAAGAAACCGTTGATTTTTATAGTAAGTTGTATACTAAAGAAGATATTGATGTTAAAAATGCAGAAGATTATATTTTTTCTCAAAATATTTCATCTCTCTCTGACGATGAAAATAAAATATGTGAAGGTTTATTAACACACAGAGAATGTAAACAAGCTGTATTCGCAATGAAGAAAAACAAAACTCCAGGCTCTGACGGAATAACCGCGGAATTCTATCAGGTGTTCTGGAATGAGATCTGTGATATTTTAGTTGCCGCTCTTAACGAGTGTTATGTTATTGAGAAAATGTCGGATACTCAAAGTAAACTGCATCTAAGTCAAGAATAAATCATATTCCCACAATCATGAAAATAAAGAAGGAACATTATTCTACAACAATGTTATGAATCGTGTATGATACGGATAAAGGTATTGAAATACACACACGAACACAAGCACAAAGAGAGTTAGGGTTGTGAGAGAGGTTTATAAGCTAATCAAAAGGCAGGTCGAGGGACGAGGGACTTTCATGTTGGAAAATGTGAGATTTACTAAGGGAAGCATCATCAGCATCAATATACATCAATAGAGTCTTCTCTCGTGCAGGTCCATTTCTTTGGAATAATCATCAACTTAAGAGCCATACAATGTCATTACCAGCCTGCATTCATGAGCAATCTCAAAATAGCTCTAAAGACATACCCCTTTCAAAGCGTCGCCCTTGAATCATGACTGACATACAATGACATGCAACATTCCATTTTAGTATCAAGAATATGACATTTGACTTTAATTTCGCTCGTCATCAGCAAATAATATTATCGGAAAAAAAGTATCATATAAGCAACATCAAAGCATCTAATAATGTCTCATAACACCTATTGATGACAGCCAATCTTGGTTTACTCTGTTTACAAAGTTCTTATGTTGTGTCACAAGATAATAGGGACTTTTGAGATTCGCACGAAGACAATTATGGGGATTGCTACGATCGACGTCCTTTTAATGCACTACCTTGAATGGACGCTACACGTTTCAGTCCACGCAAATCTAAAAGTCCCTAATGATTCACAAATCCCCGACTTATCTTCTTGATCTTATTTCTTCTTACATACCCGGTGAAAATCTCTGATCCTCAACAAATAATTTCCTGACTGTCCCAAACGTATGTTTCTCGTGCTTTTTCAACGGCAGCGCCTGTCTTGTGGAACCATACAACTTCCTGACCAGCTTAGTTGAAATAGTTGAAATATTTATTGGTTACTGAATCATCATAGGTTATAACAATAATGTGACAATGTCTTTACATGAGTATAAAACATAAGTTAAATTACATTTCCACATTCAGTAAATCATAGATACATACGCTCGAAGAGGTGATGATACAGAAGGGCTACAGCCTAAGCGTGACAGCTTGATACGCTTGCAGCCCAGAAACATTTAAAATCATAACGATTGTAAAGTAAAGTAAATCACAGAACATAATTGGGGGAAAATAACAAAAAATAAACAGTGACTTGCAACCAAAAAAAAAAAAAAAATGGGATAGAGGGTGCATGGGAGGGGGATTTTCCTGCTATATCAAGGAAATGCTGACAAACATATATGATATCATGTGTTAATTTAAGAGATTTGTCAATATTTGCTCAATAAAATTGATTTCACACTTTTCTTGAAAGTATATACTGACTTCAAGTTACGGATGTCAACGGACAGTGAGTTCCAAATATCCGGACCAGAATGTCTTATAGATTTCATAGCCATTGTTGTTTTAGGATTACATAAATGGTATTTATTTGATTGTCTGGTTGGGTATGTATGAATATTTCTATTCAAACAAAACATTGGTGGGAAGTGGGAAGGTAGGGAATCAATATGTAGACGGAACATGAACAGTGCTTTTTTTAAAAAGTTAATATCAGTTACTTTCAGAGTTGTTAACCTCGCGAATAGGGGATCAGTGTGATCGCGATATCCAGCATTGGTACACACACGAATCGCTTTCTTTTGTAAAAGTAGCATTTTATCAGTATATACTTTTGAGTCTGCCCACAGTATATTGCAATAAGACATGTAAGGAAGAATCAAGGAATTGTATAGCATATATAGAATATTCAAAGGCACATAATGTTTTAACTTATACAGTAAACCAACAGTGCGTGACACTCTCTTTGAAACGTAATGTACATGATCACTC